CTGCCACAAAGGCAGGAGCTGGGCTTGACTCTGACCCTGACTCTGTCTTGGGTGCTAGGGACAAAGAGAAGAGTTGGGTATACTCCTGGCCCTCAGGGAGACAGCGGCAGGCAAAGGGCATCAAGTTCCCAATGTGTCGGCCAGGCATGGTGGCTCACACCTGTAATTCCAGCACTTTGGGAGGCTGAGGCGGGCAGATCACAAAGTCAGGAGTTTGAGACCAGCCTGACCAACATGGTGAAACCTCCGCTGTACTAAAGATACAAAAATTAGCTGGTTGTGGTGGCGTGCACCTGTAATCCCAGCTACTCAGGAGGCTAAGGCAGGAGAATTGATTGGACTCAGGAGGTGGAGTTTGCAGTGAGCTGAGGCTACTTGCACTCCAGCCTGGGCACAGAGCAAGACTCTGTCTCAAAAAAAAAGTTCCCAATGTGTCATAGAGAGGGAACCATCAGGGTACCCAGGCCTACCTTCCTCAGGCTGGGCACCCAAAGGCTTCCTGGAGGAGGTGATTCCCAACATGAGTTTCAAAGAACAATTAGGAATTTGTCCCTAAAATGTGAAAACTGTGCCAGGCAGAGGGCACAGCACAGGTAAAGCCAGGGAGGTGGGAAACAGTGGTTGTCATGTGGGACTTGCATGTGAGGTCAACAGGGATTCTTCTGGGCCCTATGGGTGGTTCCCCTTATGGGCAATCTGTTTTGTTTGTTTTTTTGAGGAGATCTCATTCTGTCACCCAGGCTAGAGTGCAGTGGTATCATAGCTCACTGGAGCCTCAACCTTCTGGGCTCAAGCAATCCTCCCACCTCAGCCTCCAAATAAATAAGACCACAGCTGTGTGGTTAATTTTTAATTTTTTTTTGAGATGGTGTTTTGCTCTTGTTGTCCAGGCTGGAGTGTAATGGTGCGATCTTAACTCACTGCACCCTCCGCCTCCTGGGTTCAAGTGATCCTCCTTCCTCAGCCTCCTGAGTAGCTAAGACTACAAGCATGTGTCACCAAGCCCAGTTAATTTTTATTGTTTTTAGTAGACATGGCATTTATCCATGTTGGTGGTCAGTAGACATGNCAGGCTGGAATGCAGTGGCGTCCTCTTGCCTCACTGAAACTTCAGAAAGTCAACACTGGGCCCAGAAGGGCCACTGGGAGGTACTGGCTTGGCCTAAAGAGGCCACTGGGAGGCCGGGGCTGGGCCTGTAGAAACAGGCTGCCACAAAGGCAGGAACTGGGCCTGACTCTGACCCTGACTCTGTCTTGGGTGCTAGGGACAAAGAGAAGAGTTGGGTGCACTTCTGGCCCCCAGGGAGACAGCGGCAGGCAAAGGGCATCAAGTTCCCAATGTGTCGGCCAGGCATGCTGGCTCACACTTGTAATTCCAGCACTTTGGGAGGCTGAGGTGGGCAGATCACAAGCTCAGGAGTTTGAGACCAGCCTGACCAACATGGCGAAACCTCCTCTGTACTAAAGATACAAAAATTAGCTGGTTGTGGTGGCGTGCACCTGTAATCCCAGCTACTCAGGAGGCTAAGGCAGGAGAATTGCTTGAACTCAGGAGGTGGAGGTTGCAGTGAGCTGAGGCTACTTGCACTCCAGCCTGGGCACAGAGCAAGACTCCGTCTCAAAAAAAAAGTTCCCAATGTGTCATAGAGAGGGAACCATCAGGGTACTCAGGCCTACCTGGCCCAGGCTGGGCACCCAAAAGCTTCCTGGAGGAGGTGACTCCCAACATGAGTCTCAAAGAACAATTAGGAATTTGTCCCTAAAATGTGAAAACTGTGCCAGGCAGAGGGCACAGCACAGGTAAAGCCAGGGAGGTGGGAAACAGTGGTTGTCATGTGGGACTTGCATGTGAGGCCAACAGAGATTCTTCTGGGCCCTATGGGTGGTTCCCCTTATGGGCAATCTGTTTTGTTTTGTTTTTTTTTTTTTGAGGAGCTCTCATTCTGTGGCCCAGGCTGGAGTGCAGTGGCATCATAGCTCAGTGGAGCCTCAACCTCTGGTCTCAAGCAATCCTCCCCCCTCAGCCTCCAAGTAGCTAAGACCACAGGTGTGTGGTTAATTTTTAATTTTTTTTTGAGATGGTGTTTTGTTCTTGTTGTCCAGGCTGGAGTGCACCCTCCACCTCCTGGGTTCAAGTGATCATCCTTCCTTAGCCTCCTGAGTAGCTGGGACTACAGGCATGTGTCACCAAGCCCAGTTAATTTTTATTGTTTTTAGTAGACATGGCATATCTCCATGTTGGTCAGGCTGCTCTCGAACCCCTGACCTCAAGTGATCTNCTCACTGCACCCTCCGCCTCCTGGGTTCAAGTGATCCTCCTTCCTCAGCCTCCTGAGTAGCTGGGACTACAGGCATGCGTCACCAAGCCCAGTTAATTTTTATTGTTTTTAGTAGACATGGCATTTCTCCATGTTGGTGGTCAGTAGACATGTCATTTCTCCAGACTGGTCTAAAACCCCTGACCTCAGGTGATCTGCCTGCCTCAGCCTCCCAAGGTGCTGGGATTACAGGCATTAGCCACTGCACCTGGCCTTTTTTTTTTTTGAAAGAGAGTCTCACTCTGTCACCCAAGTAGCAAGATCTCGCTCACTGCAACGTGCGCCTCCTGGGTTCCAGCAAATCTTGTGCCTCAACCTCCTGAGTAGCTGGGATTACAGGTTTGTATTAACACACCCAGGTAATTTTCGTATTTTTAGTAGAGACAGTTCCACCATGTTGGCCAGGCTGGTCTCGAAATCCTGACCTCAGGTGATGTGCCTGCTTCCACCTCCCAAACTGCTGGGATTACAGGCACAAGCCACCATGTCTGGCCTAATTTTTAAAAGTTTTTTGTAGGGATGGGAGGTTTCACTGTTGCTCAGGCTGGTCTTGAACTCCTGGTCTCAGGTGATCCTCCCACCATGGCCTCCCAAAGCACTGGGAAGACAGGCATGAGCCACCATGCCCGGCCCCCAGACAGGCAATCCCTACCTCCAACCTGTCCCGCTCCTCACCGCTGAGCCGAGGTCTGGGGCTTTGCCATCAGTTCTGCCCCCTGAAGAATCTGGAAGGGAAATATTGTTACAACCAACCTCTACCCAGACAGGAGGAGCCCCAGCCGGATGACAGCATTGCTGGCGTGCAGGAGCCAGGATATGGCTCCCGCTGCTGTGTTGCGAACATGAGTGTTTGCCACATAATGAGATGCTCAACACGGCTGCTGGGGCCACATGGTGGGCCGAGCCACCCACTCACCATATCTGCTGTTAAACAGGATCTGCACACACTCCTGGAGCGTGTTAATGTCTTCGGTTTCCTTTATGAAGGTGACCCACTTCTATATCAAAACACAGGAGGCACAAGTGAGCAGGGCCTTCCAGGCTGGTGGCATGCCCTCCACTGGCTGCGAACCCTGGGCTTTCACCTCCAGAGCCCCCGAGGCAGGCCCCAGCCCCNAGAGTCTCACTCTGTCACCCAAGTAGCAAGATCTCGGCTCACTGCAACCTGCGCCCCCTGGGTTCCAGCAAATCTTGTGCCTCAACATTCTGAGTAGCTGGGATTACAGGTTTGTATTAACACACCCAGGTAATTTTTGTATTTTTAGTAGAGACAGTTCCACCATGTTGGCCAGCTGGTCTCAAACTCCTGACCTCAGGTGATCTGCCTGTTTCCACCTCCCAAACTGCTGGTATTACAGACACAAGCCACCATGTCTGGCCTAATTTTTAAAAGTTTTTTGTGGAGATGGGAGGTTTCACTGTTGCTCAGGCTGGTCTTGAACGCCTGGTCTCAGGTGATCCTCCCACCATGGCCTCCCAAAGCGCTGGGAAGGCAGGTGTGAACCACCATGCTCAGCCCCCAGACAGGCAAACCCTACCTCGAACCTGTCCCACTCCCCACCCCTGAGCCCAGGTCTGGGACTTTGCCATCAGTTCTGCCCCCTGAAGAATCTGGAAGGGAAATATTGACACAACCAACCTCTACCCAGACAGGAGGAGCCCCAGCCAGATGACAGCATTGCCGGCGTGCAGGAGCCAGGATATGGCTCCCGCTGCCGTGTTGGGAACATGAGTGTTTGCCACGTAATGAGATGCTCAACACGGCTGCTGGGGCCACATGGTGGGCGGAGCCTCCCACTCACCATATCTGCTGTTAAACAGGATCTGCACACACTCCTGGAGCGTGTTAATGTCTTCAGTTTCCTTTATGAATGCGTCCCACTTCTATTTCAAAACACAGGAGGCACAAGTGAGCAAGGCCTTACAGGCTGGTGACATGCCCTCCACCAGCTGCGACCCCTGGGCTTTCACCTCCAGAGCCCCCGAGGCAGACCCCAGCCCCCAGCCCTTCCACCCTCTCCCAATTCATGTACGCTCCCAGGGAGAGTACCTGAAGTCAGGGTGCTCAGATGCTGCCCCGTCTCCCCTCTCCTCCTGCCCTGACATTTGCCTCTGGCCTCTCCCACCAGTGTGGTGTCAGTGCTGGGTCAGCCTGTCCATCCAGAGTTCATCCTACCCCAGACATAAAGGAGGCTGGAAGAGCAGTCCTCGCAGCAGAAAAAGCAGTCAAGTCTTTTTTTTTTTTTTTTTTTTTTTGAG